GAGGGAGGGGGCGGGGAGAAGAAGTAAATGGAGATTGTGGGAAGGGAGAGTGAGAGTGAAGGAGTAAACGAGAGAGGGTGGGAGATGGAGACGGAGACAAAGAGGGGGGAGGTAGGAAGAGATGGCGGGGGAGGGGGCGTGAAATAGAGATTAGGAAAGGGGGAGAGACAGAGGGAGAGAAAGAAAGTAAGAGGTGGAGGGAGAGAAAGAAAGTAAGAGGTGGAGGGAGAGAAAGAATTTGAGAGGAGGAGGAAAAGTAACATAGATAATAGATAGACAACAGGGGGAGGGGGGGAGAGAGAGAGAGAGAGAGAGAGCATGGGTGAGTCAAGAAAATGCCACACACGGGGTAGGGTATATTGTTATCGCTGCTCTCGGGTTATACAAGACCAATTGTGAATGTTCTCTGTTTGCTTGTTTGTTTTTAATTATCATGTTGAGGCAAGTTCACGTTAGAAAAAAAATGTTCTATTTCTTTAAAATTACATTGGTGCATTTTACGCTCATATCGACACTATTTAGATTTTTAGGAACCATAAAATGAAGCATTTCTATCAAGTATAGCGATCTAAATCATAATCAGGTGTATTATTTTCTTATCACATAGCGAAAAATTCAAACCATACAATCAATCAGTCATTCATTTACTCTTTTTGAGAGTGTCGCTGATAACTTCCATCACGCAGGGCACAGTCGAGGTGGGGTGGGCCTGTGACAAACTGGCATGCCTCCTTCAAACTCTCCGTTTTTCATACAAATACATGCACATCATGAAGCAATTTTTGGAGTTGGAGGGAGCAGTTGGTAGGCTAGCTTATAGGCTAATATTAGGGGGGGGGGGCATTCCGTAAATAACGACCACTACGAAATAGATAGAGGGGTAGGGTTAGGATTAAAGTTGGGGTTAGGGTTAGAGCTGGCACCAATTCTGCAAGCTGTATTCTCATTCGCTGGATCCAGGTCCATGTGATGAGGTAGGCCTAAGGGTAAGATTTACAGAATGGGTAGGGTAAACTTTCCCATAGCTCTTACTCTACATGCCTTAACCTTATTTCCGAATCCTGAAACTATTAATAAAACGTGCATAATAATCTGGAAGAATGGCCTATTCCAATTAGATCTAGATCTAGATATAATCTAGCTATAGAGTCTAGCCTATCATTTACGCCCCACGAACGCAATATATGATAATAATTGTTAAGGATTATTATGGTGTCTACTGGTACAACCCAACCAGTTTAGTTCAACCCGAGTTGGGTGAGAAGGGAAAAAGGAAAACACTTCATTAAACATAATTTAATCATTCCCCAGAAGAAGAAAAAATTGAACTCACACCTCCTGGGGAAAAGGCGAAAAACTTGAAGCGTAGATTAACAATATCTAGATCTAGATCTAGCAAGATCTTTCACAACAGAAACAGGAAGAGAATCCGGACCAACACAAACGGGGGCTCTCGTGGCCTAGAGGTTAAGGTGTTGGCCTCTCATTCAAAGGTCCCAAAATTTTTCTTCTCTAAAATTGTCTCCTTTCACCTCCTTTCCTGCTCTCTAGCAATGTTCTGTTGTCTGCTTTCATTTCCACTTTCTGCCCCCCACCCCCTCACCTCCTTTGCCCCCTCACCTCCTTTGCCCCCTCCTCTGGGCTCCTGACTCGGTGATCTTGTAGTTCCGTTCGTTAAAGTCCACGATCCATTTGTTTACAT